TATATATAAATGTGTATACACTGAATCGAGGGTGAGAATGTGACGAGAGTGCGTGTGTGAGCGAGTGTTCGAAAGTGCATCCTCATGCAGTATAGTTTAATTGTTGCGTGTTTGAGACGAGAGTACGGCTAGTACGTGTTTACGCACGAAGGTATGTATTGTAGTACACTTTGATGCGAGTGTGTGTTTATACACACACTGAGAGAGCCTTCAAACTATACGCTGCAAAAGCTAATACAAATGAAGTATTGCCTGTCATTTCTTGGACAGGAAAACAACACCTGCATAGTCTTAAGCCGAATCCTTAGCAGATCAATAGGATGTGTAGAAGACACCTTAATCTACAGTGTGTACAAATCACGCATACTTCGCTGACCTATAACACACGACTGAACATACACTTCTATATTTAGAAAATGATGGACGAGCGCGCCAAAGAACAAACATGGGTTTATATACGCCAAATATAGCGAAAGATGAGATGCCAACCAAGATGCTACACAAAAAGCACTCCAGACAAATAAGCTAACACAGGAACTGTGTACTCTGCAGACCACAAATTGGAGACAGACTCTACGAATTAAGGCACATCAAGCTTTATGCACACGTACATTAATCTATTTACACACGTATATTATTCTATATACACACGTACATTAATCTATATACACACGAATATTATTCTATATACACACGTACGTTAATCTATATACACACGTATATTAATCTAAGCACACGTACATTTTATCTTTATACACGGCACATTAATCTATACACTCGCGTATATTAATCTTTATACACACACTGATCGACATGTGCCCTTTCAACAGGCTGATATGCACCTGTTAAGATCCAGTAAGGGTCGATTAATGAGCCTGCACAGAAGGACGTTAACGTATCACCGCCTCTCGTTTTGAGCTTGATGGTCGCCAGCCAAGTAATGGGACTTGGAGCGGGGAATCCACCGACAATCGCCCTGATTTGAAAGTTAAGGTTGGAAATACGAGTAAGGCTAGGTATTGGGTTTTAAATTAGGAATAGGTATATGTCTAGATCAAGTTTAGGGATTGGGATATGCTTGACGAATGTAGAAAATAGGTGATCGGGAACATATTTCTTTCATATACTCAGTGCTGGATTGATTTGTAGAGCGGTCTAAATGACTACATGAATGTATAGGTTTATATGTATTTCTTTCCCTGTACATAGATGTACATTTGCTTCATTTTCATAGCCTTACGCATGCAGATGTGTATACAATACGAGTGAACAAGCATGGCTATACATGGCTATACGACGCTTATCGATATGGGTTTGTACAATTTGTAGAGCCATATAACGATATAAGCGGGGATGTTGACGCAAGCCTTTCAGAATTCACTGGCATCATGGCTTCTAAGCACGTATGTAAATCGACACAAACAGTCATGAAAGCGGGCAAATGGCATCCATAAGTAAGGGTCCGCCTCTTGTTCTTCCTATCTTGACCAAACTCGAGACCTATACAAGGTCCACGCATGTATCTCTAAACTGAAACAGCATATAATGTTTTTCTGTTGTCATTCGCGAAGAATCTACACACGTCTATGGACGAAAACATTATAGATATACTTTATATATATACATATATATATATATATATATATATATAAATCTACAATAGATCATCTAAAAGTATCGATACTTGTATTTATTTGACCAAAAGGACACATACACGTGTACAAGTGTACACACAGACACACATACACACAGACACATACATACACATACATATACACGCACACATAGACACAGACATAGCCACAGACACACACACACACACACATATA